CCATATTGAAAAAACCACCAAAATAAGAAATTGAGGGGCTCGTTTTCTTAAATTTAAGAAAATGAGGGGCTCAATTTCTTATTTCGGTGGGTTTTCAAATTAAGAAATTTGAGATAAGAAATCCAGGGTATGCTCGAATCCCGATTCCTTTTTTACTTAAAAAAACGTGCGCTTCAAAAATAAGAAATCGAGCCCCCCCTCACGAAACAATATATGTTTCTTAACCGGCGCTGTCGCTGTAGCATGCAGGGGGCACATTTCGGGCCCCTGACTGTCAGCTGCCTACGCCTCTCTCCACATGCAAAGCGACACCAAAGCTTTGCTTTGCATGGCAAAGGCTCGTGCAGGTAACTTGGTGATCTCCCGGATCGGATGATGGAGCACCTTCGGCTCCAGAAAATCGTCCGAATCGCTGAACCCAGGCACACCACGGACGCGCTGTCGCATGATGCTGTTTACCTTCGGGACATGAGCCGGCTACTGGTTGTCAGACTAGACTCTGACAATATCCTAAACCGAACTTCCTGAACCCTACGCCCACTGCTGTTGCTGGCGTTTTCGGAAGCTTGCGGGCGCGGAATGAAGGGCAACGACCCCGTGACAGAAACGAGGCTGGCGCCAATAGTACACCGCCCCGAACCTTTGTGGTAGTGCATGACCCTCTAATTTCAAGGTAGACGTATCTGCCTTAAGTTCTCAAGTATAACTACCTCAGCCATGAACCATGAATCTAAACATGAAACCTGAGCCCGGAACTCTGTACCTCAGCAAACTCCCAATGCCTTAAATACTAAACCCAAAGGTCGAAGCTACAAACCGTACGTAAGCCCTACAAGCAAGACAGCCTCAACACACAATCCTAAACACGCCAACTTCTGTCCTTAGAAACCCTAAAATACCTCAGCCTGGTAGGACCATTAAACAGTTTTGGAGGGTTTTCAGGGTTCGGGGCTTTCGCCACCCTAAATCCTAGACCCTAACGCCCCCAAACCTAACCTCGAAAACTCTCACGTCTCTGAGACCCTAAACCCTAAACCGACATCATCAAGAACGGGTGCACTTTGTCCCGTCAGCATCTCCTCTACGCTGCTCGTCTCTGAATCCTCGGCTTCGTCGGCTTTTGGGACCAAATGTTCAAAGCATTTTGTAGTGTCCCGCCCGGCTCTATGGCTCTATGGGCTTGCATAAGAGTCCTAACTGCGGTGTTACAGGTCTTGAAGAGGGCTCTCATGAAACATTTAGGGCATTCTTGCTCTGTTCTCTGCTTCTCACGTCTATGTTTGGGCTTTACCCTCTGCGGCTGCGACGTACATGTCCTCAAGCCTGCCGGAGCGGTAGGCTTTTCCTTGGGGATGAGAAGGGAGCATCACAGCTCGAGCTGATTGAAGGCTACTAACACTATAGGGACCTTCATAAGTAGAATCTGTATGCTTTTTTGGAGGGGGTATCTTGTTCTTTTCTGATAACAAGGAACCCTATAAAGGATAAGCATACACATCCACACCAAAACCTTAAAAATCCACAAAAGCTCTAAATCCCCAAACTCCAAACCCCCAACCCCTAAACGACAAAAGCCCTATAACCCCTACGCCTAATAGCAACCGCTGTAGAGCCCCATAGAACCCGGAACCCTTTTGAGCCCTGATAACCCTAATCCCTGACCCCTAAACCAAACCCTTAAACCCTAAACACCCCTAAATCCTAAACCCACATAAAGCGGCTATCGAACAGTGTTTACCCATGACAAGGCTCCCTAAATCCTAAACCCGCCATAAAACCGCTATCGAACGCTTTTTACCCATGACAAGGCTCCGAGCCGGTCTGTGAGGAGGTCTCGCTTCTTGGTCCCCCAGCCCTAGGGTTGCGTTTGGTGGTTCTAGGGTTTAGGGTTTAGGGATTAGGGTTGAGGGATTAGGGTTTAGGGTTTAGGGATTAGGGTTTAGGGTTTAGGGATTAGGGTTTAGGGTCTAGGGTTGCTTTTGGTGGTTCTAGACGGCACAAAACTCTGCCCTGTAGATGTAGGGCTTTTTAAGGTTAAACCCCTTAAACCTAATCCCTCAACCCTACACCCTTTTAAGGTTGAACGGGCTTCGAGCTGCTTGCCTGGGACCTGCGCCCCATTATAACGGCTCGAGATCCTGATGAGGCTTGGAGGGTAAGGCCCTGACGGGCCGCAAGCTCTTTTGAGCAAGGGTTTAGGGCTATTTACGGGTCTCTTTAAAAGGGGTTCATAAGGGTGCTGAAAGGTTTCGGCAAAGCTGTAAAGCTTAAGGTTCACGGTCTAGGGTGGGGTCAAACCAGGGTACTCTTCGCTGGTTTGTTGACATAGGACAAAGTCAGTGTTTCTGACGATGCATATTTAAACCTAGTGTTTGGTGCTTTTGAAAATCAAGGAGCTCAGGTGTATACTTGTAGGGCATTTAACTCAGAACAATGTCTTGGGGTGAAAACCCCCTACTGGCTTGCAACGTCGCACGAGGACAGCTGTCTGTTTGCACTGCTCGCCCCCTAAATGCTGAACCCCTCTGGCCCTAAAGAACCTTAACTTTACATTGCAGAAGTTGAAACGTTTTGGGGTTCGGAGCAAGTTCAGGGATCACCAGCACCAGAGAATCAACAACGACAGCACTAGCGTCGGAAGGAAGAGGGTGCGGCTTCCTGCTGGCATCGGCCATAACCACTGAACCCTCAAGCCTATCTGTAGCCCCAGCCCCTGCAAAACAGTGGGCGATGATCCAATGTAAGCTATGGAGCAGAAGTCTAATCCCCTAAAATCCAAACCCTACACCCTAAAGAAGCCTTAAGCCCCGTAAAACACCTGGTCTGTGCATCACAGCAAGGCCTTAAGTCCTCGGTTTCTGTTGGCCATCTTTCCTCAGCCCCCTCGCCGATAAAACCCAAAATCCCCTTGCAAAGATCTTGGAACCCGAACAGCTCAGCACTCAAAAACTCTAAACCCCTTGGCGCCCGGTCTGCAGCGACTCTACCGGGAAAGAGCCCTAAACTGATTAAACCCTAAACCCTAAACTCATAAATCCCTAAGCCTGGGATTATAGAAGCCCCAAAAGGGTAAAGGTTACCTACTCAGCCCCCATAGGTTTGTTGCAGGCATGGTACCCAGAGAACATCGCTCGCGTCATCTTCGGCATCAGGCATCCGCTTCGGGCGGTTGGGAAACAAAGCCGTGAAACATCGTGAAACCCTACTGTAAATCCTCAAAACCGCCGACCATGCCCGAACAACTAGAATCGCGCTTTGGGGCTTTTGACTATCATTGCATTTGGAACTCTGGGAGGAGACTACTCTTCGTGAAAATATTGCTGGAGTAAAGCCCGGAAGCTCTAACTTAGCTCAAGACCCGACCGTATCTGACCCTAAACATGTGTCTAGTTCAGGTCTAGAAGCTTTTATAGTAAGGGTTTCTGATGGTTTCTACAGAAAAGTGGTTAGACCCAAACTGACGGTTAGGGGCATTGAGAATCGGAATAATATCATCATCATACAGCCACTATAAGGCTGGCCTTTTGGGATGTGAATTCGGTCGCTTCGTTGGTGTTTTGGGCTCTTGCTGGGAAGTTCGGAAGAGTCAGAAACGGATGGGTTTGGTGGAACCTTCGTCTTGTATGGGCTTAGGGTTTAGGGTCTAGGGCTTGGGGTTTGAAGGGCACGGGTTTGGGTTGGTTGGAGATTGTGGTGACGGCTCTGAAGTCTCTGGTATTGTGGGCTTCCGAGGACGCCTGGAAGACCCATACAACTTACGACAACAACATCCAACATCACTTAGACTTGTAAGGTTTGCCGTCTCGGGATTACAGCCTTGAGGGTTATTAGGGCTTGGGGAGGGTGATTCGTGATGTCTAAACTTGATCCGGTCACCTGACGCAGGCTGGATAAGAGCTAGTCGGAGGCAAGAAATGGTTAAACGGCACACCTACCCAGCACACGCACCTGACAGACGTGCAAACTCTCGTCAGGTGCAGCAAGAACAGATCAATGGAGAGAAGACGAGGCTTACCATGGCGACAGGCACACCGCACATGCTTTCAAAAAGTTATGTCCCACCATTCTGAGCTAGCCGTGATGGGGGACAAGCAGCTGAGTACAGCACGTCCGGACATGATGATGCTTCAATGGAGCTGAGGAAGCGTTCACCTCTCGAACCCTTGACCCTACAGCAGCAACCGTCGGCGGAGCGCACTGAACTTTCAGGAGGTCGTAGTACTCCGTGTCCGCCTCAGAACAAGGACAGCGGAGTTCACGACGGCAGAGCGCAATTCAAAAGTGCCTCGTTCTGCCACAAGAGTTCTTTCGGATCGCCTACACTTCTCTTGCAAAAGAATAAGACAGGCATGAGAATAGTCCGACCCACTCAGGCCAATGCAAACAAATTACCCGAAACAGCACTGCCACTGAGGTCCCGTGGGCTGGCGAATGCGGCGCTGTTTCTATCGTCCTGTACATTATAGGCCAGAGCTGGGAACTCTCCATGACATGAGATCACAAGAAACTAGATGACGGCTGAAACTGGGCTCCAGGCGACTAGACTAGGTCCTTCATCATAAGCAGTAGCTAGCTCAAGCTTGGGATAGTGTTAACAACGTAAACTCCCATGCCTTATTGAATTTAAGCCCAAAAACCATGTAAAATGCTAACCAACTGTGACAAAGGTAGCTTGTCGAACCATCCTTCACTGCATGCGTTGTTCTGTGCTGTTCCGGGCCCTCTGGGTTTTGCATGTCCTGCCGTGATCTCTCGGTGCTGCGGAGAAGCTACACCTTATGGCTCACATCACCTAGCAAAGGCTCCCACCACGGTGCGGCGAACCGCTTCGTCTACACCTCCTCCTGCGGACAGCGAGGCGCAGGACGAGGACACTAAGTCGAGACAAACCGGCGTGAGCCCGAAACCAACACACGCACATCCGGGGCTTTGCATGTCCACAGTGTCTCCTACCATGCCCTTGGTCCTTTGAATATGCTGCGGCATGTAAGCATCGGGTCCTTCTCCAACGCCAGTCGCAGTGGCTTCGCCTTTCTCCGCATCCTGCATGCGGCTGCTGCTAGCACTACCTCTAGCACTACCGCGCTAGCACTAGTACGACGACGACGACGACGACTACTACTACTGCTGCTACTGCTACTGCTACTGCTACTACTACTACTACTACTACTACTACTGCTGCTATTGCTACTACTACTACTACTACTACTACTACTACTACTGCTACTACTGCTGCTATTGCTAATACTACTGCTACTACTACGACGACATATTGCCACTGCGCTTCTGCTGCTACGATGACAAGGTCTATCAGGATGACATGAATACGTCTATCAGGATGACGAGACGAGGACTTTCCAAGCCTCGAAAACTAATTTGCGCCGAATACCTCTCAGCTCCTTGCCAGAGACCTTGCAGCCTCTGCGCTCGTGCCAACAGCAGAGTCGTGTACATCCCTGTTGGCGAACATGAGCCCTAAACACGCGGCGCAACAACCGACCGTGTTGAAAGCCCCAGAGAAGAGCCCATCAATACGTCTGTTTCAAATCACCGCAGAGGTTGGAGGTCTACTCTGCATCATCTTGTCGGTATGATTTCCGAAAAGTTGAGAGATCAGTTCTAAAGCCTTTGGGCATCGTCCTGCTGTGAGATAGACGGCACTCTAGGCCGACCACAGCGGAGATTGTAGGGATGTTGCGCATCATCGATTCACGACGACTTAGGCATTCTCGCCGAGAGAAAGCCTAGGCCTAGACCCAGCCTCTGCCACTTGCTTCTCTAAGGCGCAAAGATCCACATCCACCTTACAAAATGCAGAGTCAGGCTCGCGATTCAGGATTCGACCGTGGGGGGGTCAAGAGAGGGAACCGGCCAGCACCCATGCCACAACACGTGAGCCTGAGCAGCGGCGTTTAGCTTGTTCACTTGCATCGTGGCTTATGCGCAATCGCTGTGACACCTCTGCGACAGTAGTGCATGTGGGCGTTGTTTACATGTTCTCTGCTGCCTTTTCGAAAACAGCGATAACTCCGGCTAAACAGCACCAACGAGCCCGAAGCGGTACCAAGTTGGAGCAGACCTCATGCCCCACATAAGCTGTGTGCCTCTACCAGCAGTGCAGGTGTCCGCAACTTGTGGCTGCCTTTGAATTCAGGCATCGTCGGGCTCGGCGGCGTCCACACAAGCACACCTAAATTAACCCTACACCCCAAACCTAAAATCCTACCATCCCTCTTAAACCCCAAAGCCGTAAACCTCAAACCCTAAAGCCGTGAACCCTAAACCCTTGGCAGAAATTGAGCGCGAGGCCCAACAACCCAGCTCCTGATCCCACACTTTCTCTTCGCCTTACGTTGGCTGAGGGCCACCATTGTTTGAGTCCGCCGTTTTTAGAGTCTTAGGATTTAGGGTTACCTATAGTCTCCATCGTAGTTCCTTTTTTTGGTTTAACCAATTATATATTAAGGATTTTATAAGGTATCCCCAAAAAGGAACTACAATGGAGACTATAGGTAAGCTTTATCTTTCAAAGGGCTCACGGTTTATTCTTCTTAGCCTTGTGTCCTACTAGCTTGGCTTGCAAGTTGGAGAGTTCTATAAAGACTCTGAAGGCTGCACTTTGGATTTGTGGTGCGTCATCAGCGAACCCCTAAGCCCCCAAGTCCCTAAACACTGGCGTGTTCATCTCAAGGTAAAATTCGGCTTTTGGCTGCCCCAAGTTGGAGAACACAGCCCTCCCTGCAAGGTTCTAAGGACCCACCGGTGAAGCTTTTGGGGCTCAACGGCCATGGCGTACTGTAGAAGCCTGGAATAATTTACCAATATTACCTGAATATAAGTATACTAGAAAGGAGCCCAAAACCCTTTTCTTAGAACTCACGACCCTATATTCAGAGTGCTTCGGGCACCATGGAAGTCCCCATCACCGCCACATGCAAAGCGATCCAACAGGATATACGGTGGGAGAAGAAGTGCCGTAGAAAGTTTGGCAAAAACTGAAGTCCTATAGACTTTACTATAAGCCCATACACCCCGACACTCTGAAACGCCGAGCCAGCAAGACCTTTGTATAGCCAGCTCCGAATGACCTTTTCTTTGCAACTTGTACTGGGTTCAAGTCTCGCCAGAAAAGCCCTAAACCTCTAAGCATCCCTTAACCCTAACACCCCCCCCCCACCCCCCACCCCCCAGGCCTCGAAGCTCAAAGTCTCAGCACAAGCCCTTGATCCGATAAAGTCGTTATTATTTAAGCTCTTCGAGCATAAAGCCTGACACCCCAGCTTTAGCGAAAGCCCTAAACCCTAAACCCTAAACCCCCTAAACCCAAATCGCTAAGCCGCATCCCCATCCCAGGGCCCTGGCGCCGCGCCCGTGCGGCGCCCGGGACCTGCATGAGGCCGCGGCCCACCTGAATGTGCAGGGCCTTCATAGTTATTTTCTCTCTATACACACACACACACACATATATATATATATAGATATGTACATGTATACAAAATATATAATTATAGGGTTCGTTTCAGGGGTTCCTGTAAGGGCTCCTTTAAACTTACATAACGGTTCGATAGGTGTTCTATAGCGGTTCTTCCGTTGGAGTTGAAGGACTTTGCTGTAATTGGAATGTGGTGTCTTTGTAAGTTTTGCGGGTTCGGGGGACTAAACGGTGATACTGATAATGTCTAGTCACTCTAGTCAGACCGGGCTTACCGTGCGGTCCTTTTGATTCCGTACTGACATCTATATTACTATATAGTTCTGTCTTAAAAACATTGAAACCCTCTTCCTTACAAAAAAGGATAGCACTCTATACCAACCCAACTCCTGCCGATGCGCCTGTGCTACGCCGCAGCCGACTCCGCCCACGACCATGGCTGCGCCGCCCAGAACACCCGCACCTCGGAGTGAGGATTTTATAGGGGAGCCTGGATGATTCGGATTTCGGCGTATGTTTTTGTATATTGGGGGTATCAAGAGAAAAAAAACGTTGTGGGGCCGTAGAGTGCTGATTGAGATTCTAGGCAGCTGCTTAGGCTGCAAAATCGTGTTTTGGGGAATGCTGTACAGGAACGCGGGTCTAGGGCTTCAGGATCATGCAGGGGACCTGTGATCAGGATCGGCAGTACCATGCTGCGGGTGGCAAGAGCGGACTGAACTTGCTGCATTCCGCTGCCGCAGCTGCAACCGAAACGCACAAACCCCTAAACCCTAACAGGCCCTAACATGCCTCTTAAACCCCAAAACCCTACAACCCTGAACCCTGAGCCCTTAAACCCTACACCCTAAACCCAAAACAAGCCTAAACCCAATCCTACTTGGAGGTTCATGGGTAGTTATAAATGGAGTTATAAGTCCCCTAAGATGGGTTATACTTATAGTTGCCCTACTTATAACCCCACTTATAACTACCCCTGAACCTCCAAGTATGAGTCATGCAAAAGTTGGGCTCCCGACCCAGCCCTTTCAGGAAGCCGGTTGCACCACCGGCCCTTGCACGGGCTCTTACCGTTTAACATAGGGGCCGTAATAATGTTTAGGGTTTTGGGTTTAGGGTTTTAGGGTTTAGGGTTTAGGGTTGTGATAATTACAAAAGGGTTTTGGGATATATTCTACGATAATCATAAGAAGGAACCACCAAAACAGTATTGGTAATCAAATAGGCCCCTACATTTCAGCTTTTCTTGTGCCAGAGCCCCCAAACGTTTTTTGAGCGGCCGCTTGTGGCCATGGATTTAAGCTCTCTATCGAATAGATTTCTCGACGACTTTTGCAGTCTTTTGCAGATTGTCCTACAAAGAAGATGGCCCTCCCGTTTAAGAACAAACTTCTGCTTCAAGATCCTTTAACAACACCTTCTGCTTCAAGATGGCTCAAGCTACAAAACCTTTGTTCGAGGAGCAGCAACCGACCCCCTAAGACAACACTTGGAGTCAAGACCTCAAACAACACTGGCGTTCTGTCCCCCGAGCGGTGCTGTGTTCCTTTGCTGTCCTCTTCAGTTCGTCATCTTGAACTGTTAAGTAAGAACGGTACCTACTAAACAACCCCCAGAATCAGAACAAGCGCCAATGTGACCTACCCGGCAGCAAGCTCGATACGACAGCGGCAGTCCTTGCAAAGCTTAATGAAGGAAGGGTCTACACCTTTATTCGAGTCTGCCATGATTCCCGGCAACCTGAGAAGAAAAAGGCTCCCTCTTTGGTATTGGGTAGTTTCATAAGGAACGTACGACCACAAGAAGGCAAAAAGGGAAAAAGTTCAAACCCGAGACCCACTTATGGTTTCCAATCCCCCAGATCCATAAAGCCTTCAACTCTGATCCCTGAACCCCGAAATGTAAACCCTACACCCTTAACTCTAGACTCTGAACCCAATTATCCCAAACATGAAAGGCGTCCTCGCCCCCTGCACCGGTGCTGCGACCTGAGTTTGGGGGAAGGGTTAGGGAGTCAGCATCTTCGGCTTGGGGGGTTTCGGGATTGGGGCTTCGGGCGTGGAGTTTATCCTTGCTTCAGGTCTTGAAGTTCAGCGTCGAGGGCTGGCTCGATAGGTCGAGGGTCTAGAGGCCGAGGGTTCAGGGTCGAGCACGAGCACAGAAAGCAGTTCGACGAAGGTTCGGGTGCGGCAAGCTGCCAGCAACCCCCCAACCCCAGAAAATGGCAGGTTCTGGCCTCCCTCTGGAACGGACAGGTTGTTGGATCCACCACATAGTTCAACGACCATAATTTGTTGTGTTCTGTTTGTTTTCTTTTCTCTGTAGGGTCTTGTTATAAATCCTGATATAGAATACTCGTACAGAATACATAGGAAGCCTACACCTAGTTTAAGGAGGCTCGAGCGTAAGCTGACTGAAGTAGGTTTCCCCCAGTTTCCAAGACAGGCCTCAGCATGGGGGAATGCACGATGATCCAGCGCAGCTGCTTGCAGCTGCTGTGACAGAGGCATGCCAGGCGAAAGTCCCTCGGAGAACAGTGGCTGCTGTTGCGGCAGCTGTGACCTCTGCTCTGGCCACACCTGCTGTGGAACGCAGGAGGTCGACGGGTGATTCCTGCACAAATTGGCTCAATCTCGTGCTGCGAAGCGGAAGTTGAGGCCTCAACGCCAGCGTGAGGCAAGGGCAGCTGCTACCACCGCGTGTGCTGATGCGATAGATGGGAGAGATCTTCAGGCCAAGCCAATTGGGGTGATGGTGGAGGCTGAAGTCACCTCGAGAACGGCCCCGCCGCCGAATCTGATCCGACTGGTGGAACGCCGCCGGGCAAGCGTTTCTGTGAAGTCCCCCCGGGACCGTGCTTTGATGGTGATGGCGGAGCAGAGGGGAAGGCTCTGTATCAGCTCGAAGCTCTTACTCTGCTGATACAGCGTGCCGTACTCATCCCGGCTTTCCAAGGCTGGTATGATGCTGACCTCAATACTGGGGGAGTGGCTCGGTTTACGAATGGACAAACCAGACCCCTTTGCAGAGCTGACCTTGGAGATCCAGATTTTTTCGAAAAACTGGTACACAACTGCCAGTGGACCGAGGTCTGCATTAGAGCAAGGATCTAGCTGGATGGTCTTTCCGATAGAGCGGGCGAGTGACTGGACATTGACATCCTCCAGAATCTACTTGGACAGATTTGACAGCTACTTTCGCCTACATCGCCGTTGCTGTGAGCTGAGAGGATTTAAGGACCGCCTCATGGCCGCATGATCCCAAAACCCTTTTCTAATTATAAAGGCCCCTGTAGTAACAGACTGGAAGGTTGCAGCAAAGGGCAAGTGGTCACCAACCACCGGCTGAGACGACTCAGAACCGCCTTCATCAGGTTCACCTATAAAGTTCTTCGGTTCGTCCTTCAACATTCTGCAGGGCAGCACCACCGTCAAGAGAGAGTCCGTCGTGCTCTCCTTCCAGGACTTACACCCTCCGGGAACCTGACCAGCAAACTCCTTCCACGTCATGGCGATCTTGCCCAAGGCCTCTGTCAAGTTCATGTGCTGGAAGAGCGAGCTCGGCTCCACTGTGGCGAGTGGTTTGGGGTTTAGGATTTGGGCTCAGAGTTTGAAGGTGTCGAGCTAAAGCTCTCGGGTTTAGGGTCTGGAATGACCCAATTTTGTGCGGGGTGGGCTGTCTGGAGACCCCTTCTTGGAAGCAACATTGGAGAACAGTGCTTCCCAGAAGCTGGAACCCCTAACCGTCGGCGTTGCAACTCCATCCCTGATAGCCAGGGTGCTGAATCTGGGAATGCTGCTAGTATGGAGTGACCCTTTCGCCTAGAATGTAGAATTAGGGAAAAACACCCCGAAATCAACAGGGCCAAATGCTGCCGCTGGAGGCCGCAAAACCCCCAAAACCCAACCCTGACAATAGAACCCGATTATAGATCCCTTTGAGGACTCCAAAACGGAAACCCGCCAATTGCAATCCTTAAACCCTAAACCCTAAACCCTAAACCCTCAGTTTTCCCAACCCGAGCACGCGGCAGCAGTGACCAAGCCTCCTGCGACTCCGGCCTGGCACTGTCGCTGGCTTAGGACAAGGATCTATGTTTTAGGGTTTTCAGGGTTTTCAGGGTTTTAGGGTTTTATTAGGGTTTAGGGTTTTCAGGGTTTTCAGGGTTTTCAGGGTTTTAGGGTTTAGGGTTTAGGGTTTCGGGTTTATAGTCTAGGGTTCAGGAAGTTTAGGGTTTATAGGTTTAGGGTTTAGGGTTTAGGGTGGGGGCGGGGGCGCGGGGAGGGCGATCCGTCATCGTAAGATTTAGGGGTATACGTCGATCTAGGGAACCAGGGTGTAGGTGTAGAGGCGGTGCAGGTTAGGGTTCCGGGTTGGAGGCATCTAAGTCCTGACACATGTAGCAGCACGTATCCGGGTAATTAGCGTCCTGAAGAACAGGATTCATATAATCAGGATACCTAGAAAATATCCTCCAACTCTCACATTCTCGAAAACCCTGGTAAAATCTTTGCATGCTGCAACACTCTCTGAATCCGTAAGCAAAACCTCACAAGCACTGGACCTTAAAAACCATTTCGCCCGAGAGCCCTGAGGGCCGCACACCCGCCGTTTTGATACCCCGGAGCAGACCATCTGTGCCATCCTCCACTTAAGGTTTCGACTCACACACACTCGCATTTTAAGGCTTAAGGTGTAGGGTTTAGGTCTGAAGCCCGGTGCAGAAATTCTCGGCTGTCAGCTTGGGGTCATTTCTCCACCGAAGCCCTTACCCTACAACCTTCAAGCACTACAGCCTTTAAGCTCTACAGTGCTAAACCCTTAGCCCTCAAACCTTACAAATAAGCATGGACCCTACAGACAGACCTTGGAAACCCTCATACCCCAAACCCTGAATCCTAAACCCTAAACTTGGGATGTTGGGTGATGTAGTTTTGTTTTTTTTGATTTTATGGATTTAGGGTTCAGAGTGTAGGACTCCATGGACTTATGGTTTAGGAGTTCTAAGTTTTATGGATTCAGAATTGAGGGCTTTATGGATTTAGGGTTTCTGGCTTTATGGGCTTCGGGTCCGGCCCAACACTCCGCAACCGGTATTTCACAGCTGAGAGAGTCACACCGCAGGGCAAGTCGTCTGAATTGAAGGCTAGATCTCATTTTTTTGACACTCACACTCGGACAAAGGCAGGCAAGGTCTGCAGCAAGACAGTCAGTCGAAACTCGTTAACTACCACGTCTAGTTGATGTCACTCGACGTGTTTAGGGTTTCAGCACTCACACTCGGACTTGCCCGGGCGAGGTTCCTGGTACACCCGGGGCTACTTGTACTCAATAAGTGGAAGAATCCTAAACCCTAAGCCCTAAGTTTAAGCCTGCCATCTTTGGGGGCTTGGGGCTGTGCGCGTAGGGCGTAGAAGTAAGATGCTAGAAACCTACGCGCTCGGAACTCCAACTATGGTGTTTTTTTGGGTTGAGGACACTTAACGGTTCAAGGGCAGTTCTCTGCAAAAGGGGTATATCGGTTAAGAGGTAGCTCCAAGCAAAGTGTTAAGACTCCTCTAACCAAGCTGAAGCTTCTGATGCACAGAGCTGCCTTACCTGGACACTGTACCTATACTCTCCATTGTAGTTCCTTTTTGGGGATACCTTATAAAATCTTTAATATATAATTGGTTAAACCAAAAAAAGGAACGGCAATGGAGACTATAGGTACATACCTGAAAACCTCAA